TTTTGTAGTTGGGAATTTTTTTTTTTTCTTTTTCCTTTTTCTATCTTCAATAGTATCTTCCAAGTCTAGAATACTCATCAAATAAACCCAATGAATGTGGGCGAATTTCAGACATTCACATAAATGCAAAAGCCGTTCAAAAAAGCCTATAAACTAAAAATTCGTGTTAGAGTAGAGGATTTGAACCACGCATATGAAGTCTGAAATCAATGCAACAACTCCTTCAATTCGATATTTTAGTGTGCAAGTTTACACAACACTAAACTTCCATCTTTTTTATTGAATCTGAAAAAGTAATTCTACTATCTCTCTCTACTTTTTACACATTACAAAATGATAACTAGAGAGAACAAAACCGAAACGTTATAAAGATCCAACTACCTCACTTGGATAGTTTGCTTGTGCACTTCTAATGAAGCTGCCAAAAGATTCGAAAGGATAAACCAACTCAAGTCGGAAACTAAGGCAATGCGAGAAGCCAACTATCTCAAAAGCATACATAGTATACATACATTGTAAAGCTCTTTTCTAACTTCGAACAAAATGGATGAAAAATTAAGATCAAGCACAGAATGAAAAAAGGATTAGAAGCATAATCAAATCATTCCATTTAATATTCAGATTACATTTACGCATAAGATTCATAAATGCATGTTATGTTTACTTAACCCGTTACTTCTTTTTTGGCAGCGTGCTTTGAAATTTGCAAACTTTGAAATCAAATAAATCTTATCTTATTCAAAGGAAAAAAAAATAATATACATCATTGTTCATGGTTGTTAGAACTTATTCTATAATCACTAATTTTTCCATTTTGAATTTCCATTCAGATTTGAACAGGTCAAAAAACATGCCATATGGATACCAGTAGATACAAAGTTCTAACTTTAGCATGATCACTGAGTAACTATAAGACAACAGCTGGCACCGAACCCATCTCTCTAAACGTTTAGGATGCAAAAACTAATTTTTCAATAAAGCTAAACTAATAGTCTAACTAATACCACAAGCTTCCTAACTAATCTACTGCTCCACAAGGTCTCCCACACTACTTAGCAGTTATGGCTAAAAATGCAGAGAAAATCATCTTTGGTGACAGGCCTAACATCATCAGCTGCTCAAGAGTAACTGAACAAATCAGGATCTAAGAACTTGGAAACCCTTACACAGATCTCTCTCCCTCATGAGCACTTATAGATAGTCAGCAGTAGACACTATTTCTAGAAGTTTTGATCAGTTGAGGTAGAAAAGTATTTCAATCGTGAAATGAGAATCATCAAAATTAAGATAGAGGGCATTCAACCAACTGATCAGACTAGGAATTTAAGAACTATGTTGAACATCTAATGAAGTATATCAGAGAATGCCTTTCCTTCAAACAAAAGCTCCTAATGCTCAACAGTCAACACAGCGGGATCTGACCAATATAGGGTTCATGACTCCAAATAAGCAACTGAATCCCTCAATGCATGTCTATATTGTCATATAACTCACCACATCGCCATAATGTATCAAAGAGTGCTTGTAATGCTCAACCCAACTGCATACCACTCAAAACCCCCAATAATATAGGCTTCTCCCCAGGCCAAGGCACTGGATCCCACAATACATGCGTATATTCTGAAAAAAACTGAATATAGGTATCATGAGAATCACAATACGTCCCCCACAATATATTTTCATCACAATACTTGTCACCAGAATCAAATTTCTCCACCGACATTTATTCTGATAATTTGACTGCTCAGTAACCATCATACCTCACATGTATATGTACATATTTTATTTTATGAAAAATGATTAGTTGAAAAACGTTGGACTGTTATTCCCAACCCGCAGTCTATTCTGTATTTTTTCTGCTACTAGAGCCACTAAATAAACTAGAATAAAAAGAACCGATATTATAATGCAATGGAAAGTAGAACTTTAGTCACATAGAGTAAAATGTACTTGAAAGGCAGCTCAGTTACAATCTTAACTGGTTGATACTTCACACCATTATAATGGTACTTTTCATAAGCAGCTTCTCCTCCAAAAAAAAGTAACGATGCTAGACCAGATAGGAACTCCAATGAAGGAGATCTAAGAGAAATTTGAAACTTAACGTCGCCCACGCTTCTCATATGGTGCCCAAGAACTACCATAGCTATTACCATAGGCACCACCTGCATATCTCATTTCAGGACTTCTGTTCAAGATTCCATAACCCTCAGCACCTAAAAAGGTATAACAGAAGCTTAAAACCAACTAGCCACTGTTCTTGCAAGAAACCAGACGTCCACATGTTGATAATAATTTTGTTAGAGGAAAGAAAAGAAAAATAAGTGAAAGACAGAAATAACCTAATCCCCTTGCTCTCTCTATGTTGAGCTTCTCTGCTCGCAGTTTCTCTATTTCACGAGCCATGGAAACAAGGTTCTTCTCCATTGCTTGCTTTTGTTCAATTTGTTCTTCATTAGCTTTCTTTTCATATTCATAAGCCCTCCTAAAAACATTGTGCACGATCAATTCAATCATGGAATAGACTAATTAATACGGTCTTGAAGTTTACCTTGTACTTGTCCTAGTATGCAGTACCAAATCTTAACTAGAAAAAGAACAAAACATGGACTAGGATCCAACACCAATCAATAAAAATTCCATTTCAAACCTGGCCTCAATAAGCTCCTTGTGCAATCCATCCATATCAGCTCTCATAGCATTTAGCTGCTGATTTTCAGCTTGCAACCGAGTAACATCCTTCGTGAGGCTTTGGACTTGAGCAGACAAATCCTGCCTCAAAGTATTCAATTTCTGAATCTCAGCTCTTAATTGCAGAACCTCAGACTTTAAAGGCTCAGAAGCACGAAGCTCAGCTTCTAGCTTCAAACCTCTTTCAAGCAACTCCCTGGATTGTGCTTCTTTCTCAGACAGAATTTTGGGTATAGCCTGGTTCAACCGGTGAATTTCTTCTTTTGCAGCTGATAATTCCCTTTGAAGTATTGTATTATCATCAATAACCATGCGGTTATCAGAAATAATTCTCCCCATTTCCCTACGTTGCAATTCAAGTTCCTCTTCCAAAGCTGCAGGATGAATAGGTAGGGGTGCTGGCACTCGGTCTATGTAGGGTCTAGGGGCATCACGGGAAACTCGGTAACCATCAATGTGGCGGGATGATCGATTTCTCCCTGCCATACTCAAGATCCTGCAGAAATGATGTAATAATTACCTAATGGTGGTAGCACATTTTTTTTCTTTTTTTTTTATAAGAAACCAACCAAATCTTATAAACAAAAGAACAACCTAAGGACAAGGGACAAGACATCCCCTTCCAAAAGGGAGCCTCCGAGAGGATAGCTCTCCAATCTTGCTAAAACATAGACTATAATTACAAAAAAAAAATTCTATTCGTATGACACCACCAAGAAGCATTGATATGACCACTATTACAAAAAGACTCAAAAGATTTAGTCTTGTCCTCCGAAGATCAATGATTTCTTTCTAGCCATAGGTCCCACAAAAGAGCTTTAAAGGTGCAATCCCATAACGCTTTGAACTTTCCTTTAAAGGACCAACCAAGGCAACACTCAATCATCCAATCTTCAACACGTTTAGGCAAGCATATAGCAATGTCGAAAACTTGAAAAGTGCGGCCCTTTTGCAGCAAAGAGACCGTGAATGAAAAGATGATCTATGTTTTCAGCTGCCCCCAAACAAAGACAGCAAGCCGAGGGGGAGAGAGTTCGGTCTGGGTATCTAACTTGCAATCTCTCATGCGTATTCAAGGACCTAAGGGCAACTTACCAAAGGAACACTCTAAATTTCTTATAAGTGTGATGTGATTCTTCCAGATTCCGTTAATCAACGGGGAATTCAGCTTTTAAGGGGCGCTCCTCAATTGCAGAAAGGTCGACTTTGTAGAAAACTTTCCATCCTTCTCTAGCGACCAGACAATTTTATTTCGCCTCTCCTAACACAACTAGATCCAAAGACTGAACCAAATTGGCCCAATTGGCCAATTCCCTCTCAAAAAGACCTCTAAGGAAACCCAGATCCCAAGCATTCTGCTCTGCGTTCCAGCACTCAACGATGGAGTCCCCTTGATTCAAAGAGACAGCAAAGATATCTAGGAAGACTTGTGCAAGGGGAGATTCACTTACCCAATTATCGAGCAAGAACCGAATTCTCCTGTCTTGACCAGCCTTAAACGTCATGAACTTTTGGAATAGAGCATTATTCTTGGCTATATCAAACCAAGATCCTCCCCTAGCTATCCCTTTAGGCAGGTTTGGCAACCACCCAAAAGAAGCTAACCCTATATAATACTAACAATAACTATTTTCCATGAAGCGATCTCTTTTTGGATAAAACGCCATAGCCATTTAAGTAAAAGAGCATTATTCTTATGCATGAAAGCACCAATGCTCAGACCGCCAAACTGAATAAGGAGGGAGGTTTATTCCCAATTCACCAAATCCCTACAATGATGCAAAGAGCCGCCTGCCCAAAAGAAACCTCTAACTACCTTATCCAATATCCACAATACTCATTGGGGCTTTAAGGAGAGACAAGTAGAAGATTAGTAAGCTATTCAAGATGGATTCAGTCAAGGTCAACTGACCTCCTTTGCATAGGAGGAGCTTCTTCCACTTACTTAATTTTTGGGTGAACTTCTCCGCCATAGTGCGCCAAAAGCAATCTTCCGATGGTCTCCTCCGAGAGGAAGGCCCAAGTAGTTGAAAGGCAGAGATTCAACTCTACACCCTAATCAAGCAGTCTTACGAGCCACTATACTTCCAGAGAGTGAAAGCACATTTTTCATTTGAACCAAGCAAAACTCAAATGTCAAGTAATGAAGTATGATCTTTCGAGCCCACAACAAAGCACCTAATGTAGAAATAGCTTCTGGAAGTTCTATGCTATTCTGGCACTTCTGAAAATTCATGCACGCCAAACTAGTCCATCACTTGGTTTAAGACACTTCTTATCTCCCCAGAACAACACGGCGCAGTTCAATCACTAAATGGACATTGAATATGTCGAAACTAACTTCCATTCCACTGAACCTTGCTGCCTTAATTCCAAAAATGCTCTCTTCTTTAGAAGCTTCCTGGTCGGTCACAAATATCTCTGACATAAGCACCAAGGTCTCACGTACATATGTTATTCATGGAAAACAAATGACTACCTAATCTCATAATCCAAGGCCTTAGGTCCACAACCAGATGAATAATAACCTTAGTATAGATTATATGACTAAAAGAATGATAGTAAATTATCGATGCCCTTCATTATTCTACCTCATGAAGAGAATTTCTCAATACGGGTGTTCAAAAAACCCAACAACCCGATGAACACAAAAATTATAGATTGGGTTGGGTCGGGTGGGGCCAACCCGAATTGCCATGTATGGAGCCGACAGACCCGAATTCGAGGACTAACCCAATCCTTGCAAAAGCAATAAGAAATTCGATATAGAATATTATTTCAAGTGCTACATGATACGATTGATTAGCTGAGGTTTCAAAATCTAAAATTGGTTCATTAGAACCCATCATTCAAACACAAGCTGCAGCCTATATTTCTACCAATGTAATCCTATTATTAATGGGCAAATCTGTTTGGAAACAGAGCTCTTTTATTGCGGAATTAGACCTGATATTAACATTGCTTATCTGTCAGTCGAGTCGGGTCTGCTTTTTCAACCCAAAATTTTCGGGTTGAATTAATTTAAAAAAAAAACCTGCACTGTA